AGGTGATTTTTCTCAGAAAATTGGCCATAATTTTTTAATGCTAACTCCCAAATGACATTTTTCACAGCCAAATCAAATATTAATTACCAGTGAATAATTCCATGTGCAAACAATAGCCGTCTGGATCCTATAACATAGCCCCAAAACATTTGTTACATATAATTGTGTTTTCTACTGTCAGTTTCCATTATTTCATCTTGATGTTGACATTTTCGAACAGCCAAGTCATCAAGGATTCAGGAAAACAGTTTGGTTTGCTTTGAGAATGCATGAGGGGTTTAAAATGTTACTGACGAATGGGAATTTTCACCAAATATTTCATTCAAGCGCCATTTTAGATTTTCCTACAGGACAAAAACAAACATTTTAAACAACTGTGAGTCCAGTTATACAGGATATCCAGCAGGCAATGGAGACAGACTCATTTATCCGTGCAATCATAGGAAATATCTCATTAAGCGACAAACACTTGGAGGAAATCATACTGATGCAAAATGCTGACAGGGTTTGCAGCCAAGTCATCAGTTATTACAAGATGGACCACTGGCCTGAAACATTTCTCAGATGTTTTTGGCTTTCTGCACCTGACAAGTAGCCCCCACCATCCACAAGGAAATGGAGAGGCTGAAAATGCAGCCCAAACTGTCAAAACATATTGAAAAAAAGCAGGTGACCCTTACATTGCACTGTTTAATTATCGTAGCACTCCCCTACAACATGATAAGAGCCTTGCAGAGCTACTGATGAACAGAAAATTGAGAACAGGGATTCCTTCCTTTCCTCAGAACAATTTCTTCAATCAGAAAAACATTAAGGAACATACAAAGGCAGATATTCATCTCAAAGGCAGGTAGAAACAAAATTATGACAAACCTCATCAGACCAAAGACCATCCTTCCTTTGAAAAAGGACAGCTAGTCTGGGTCAAAACACCCAAGGCCAGTCCTGCTACAGTAAGCAAGACACTGTCACCAAGATCAGTCCTAGTTAAGACTGATTCAAAACTGCACTGACACAACAAAAATGATATTCACCTAAGGAACAGAAAAATCAGCTTCCCTCAAGTTGCTATACCACAGGAGACAACCACCTTACCATGTACTCCTCAATATGAATTCATGTATGGCTGTGAAGACAGGTCAACAGACTTCCCTGACCAAACAGTCAACAAAAATACACCAGAAGCAGTCAGCAAGTCTGGCCACCTAAAAGACTCACTTTGTAAAGGACTTTATGACCAGAAGTGGATGTAATGTTATGCTCCTTAAGGTTTACCAGTTAGGGGACAGTTATGGCCCCTGGCAGTCAGCAGTTTTATGTATGACCAGCAATAAATTACTACTGGGATATATTGTTCTCTGTCAATCTTACTAAAACCCAGTAGGTAACATTATGATGGTGTTCAGGACTACGGCTTGGTCACAGCACCAATTATGACGTATTCAGGAGATGCAGCTTGCCCACAGTGACCAATTAAATAACGTCATTCCGGGTCCAGTCTGCTTGCTTGGTCAGGATCGATCCCGGTATCAGAGAACAAGCCATCAGCCCACTCGTCGATAGTTGGTGGCATTTGACACAGCAGCTGGTCTCAAAGTTGACCTCTTCAACTGTGACCTCTCTTACCCACGTTGTGATTTTGATCTTAGGAGGGTCAAGCTGAATTTCCACTGGGGTATCTTAACCACGCTAAACCAAGGAGTTGAACACGTGCATACAAAATTGAAAAATAAAATGGACGATGCCCGAATAAGTCACGATATGATGTTTATATCAGAATAAAAAAATATTTACAGTTCTTTCTTTGTTCTTTTTCTTCTTTTTCCAACCCGTTCTAATAACTGGTGACGGAACGAAAATTGCGAGTAGCTTCTTTGAAGAATCTTCAAGTACTGTGATTTGAACTTTTATGGACGGCACAAAGTTATTTTGTCGGAGTTTTTTTCAGCAACAACTAGTTTTAACTTCAAGTACTGCCGTTTATACTTTTACGGATGGCACAAGGTTATTCGTCAGAGTTTTTCTTCATCAGCAGATAATTATTATTCTTATCATTAGGTTGGCAAGCAGCGTTATATCAGAAATCTCTTAACTCCTCTGACCGCAACTCGCTGGCCCCAACTTTCTCCAAATCCAACTAATGGACCCCAACTAACTTTGGCTCACGTGGGCACTTATATTTATGGGTGTCCCTTTCAACTGGTGTGGTGCGGGCAAATAGGTGGGTTTATGCAAATCTCCCAAAATTCAACCAGTCATTTTCTTTTGTTTTCTATTTCACATTTCCAATTTTGGAAGTTCCCCTCCTCTTTTGAGAAGAGCCATTATAGGATGTCAGCCTTTCTGATGTCATCTCCTACCTTTATTCTGTTTACAATTATAATTTTTAATTTTTTCTTTCTCAGGGAAATTTGTTGGCTAAAATTTCTCAGCACATAGTTAAACTGGACATCTTTCAACAGCTGACCGTAACCTCTAATCCTGCACTTGTTCAACGAACTGCATTTAACTTTTTCAACAAAATTCATACATCTATTCCCATATCCTAGGAAAATAGTTCTCTTTCTAACAAAAATTTAAAATCGTTTTGTTTTAACCCTTTTCATCCGTACGCCATGTAAAATGTTGTTACAACATTACAGCGATGAGGAAGGCTTGCAGCTGGGTGGTGACGATGCAGGTCTCTGCTTTTTCAGTGTGAAGAGTCGGGTTATTAGTCAAGCCTGTGAGTGGTAATGGCTAGGTTGAGAGGAGTGGTCATGATAGCAACGGCAGTACCTTGCATGTCAGCAGGTGGCCTGATGGCTCACAACTGCCTGTGGTTGTTATAGAAGACCTGCTTTTAAGCAGATCTGGAAGTCCCCAAGGACATCTCCTTTTTGGTGGGAACATTCAGAATTGGTCAATGTTGCTTTCATTGCAGGAGGTTTGCTTCATGGACCGGATGTGATGCTTGGAGCCTATGTGCCGAAAACAACTATTTTTATTTTATTCTTCATGACGTTCACACAACTTTTTTATTTTATTTTATTCTTCATAGTGTTCACATCCAGCCGGTAGGCAGAATGAATCAGAAATAGACTAATTGCAATGGAATATGTTATAGACAAGCGTATGGTTGCAAGAAAGAAATACGACAACAGTAGGAATAGATTTACGTGGTTTATTTCAACAGGAACGTGAGGGTTTGGGACAGCTACCTTGTGGTAAAGTTCATAAGCCGGCTTTCGGATCTGGGTCGATCTCTCATAGTAGTTCACACATGTTGACGCTGGTTGACGCTCCCCTGCTGTCAGCAGCTGGACGTGACAGGTCTCTATCCTGGGCACCTGTGGACTGACTTGTTGAACTTCCGTGTGACCCCTTTTATAGCGTTTTTTTATGGCTTAACAGGCTCGAGAAACAAAGCGAGTATAATTAGGAGGGAAGCATTTTTATTGGACGAAAAATAGAGCACTTTAAATATTATTTTATTTTTCGACAGGAACACGTGTGTCGGAAACATTTGTAAAGAAAGATAATGGTCATTTTGTGACGGGGCTTTGTCCCGTTCACACCCGGTTCTCGCTCTTGAGTATTTGCCTGTAAATTAGCCGAGATATGTATTTTATTTTATAACAAGTATAACAGTATTTACTTGGCTCTGTAGAACCTCGGTCATTTGTGATCGGAGTCTAAATAAAAATGTTTAATCCTCACCCCATATTGCAATAAATACATCCCATCTCCCCTCTAGCGTAACTATTCATCACAATAAAATAAACATTTTTCAGCGCTAAAACTAAATTAGTAAAATAAAGCTTTTTTTTTTTTTTTTTTTTAAAAAAAAAAAAAAATTGTTACGAAATGACAACCCTCTCTCACCACCCCATATACCCTGGCTAGGCCCCACATCACGTTGTACTTAAAGCGGTAAGGTCAGGACCGGAGGGCTGAGATATCGGAAAGAAAGTGTCGTGGGAGCAGAACGGTTTCGTTTTTTTTTTGTTTTCTAATGTTCATGTGGAGTTGGTGAGGCCAGAGCTAAACTTTTTAAAGACTTAGTTGTTTTTTTTAGTCGCATCATGTTCTCTGTGGAGGACGAGTAAAAAACAAAGAAAAACGAATGAAATAATTTTTAAGACTTTTTTTTTTTTTTAACTGTTTCACATTGTTGCTAGTCGTTTTTTACGTGGTTCATAAAGAAGTGAAGGACTGACCAATGGAAAACACTAAATAGCCACAAGTCTGAAATGATAGTGAAGTGCAATAAAATTTATCCGAATAATACATAAGGTTTTTTTTTTTATTTATTTAAAATTTCTGAAAAAGTTCTCTACGTGAGTAAATAATCGACGTTTTACACTAAAATTTCAATATTCAAATTTTTAAACAAAAAATATAAATTCAGTAGTCATGTTGAGAATTACTGAAGAAATATTCTTTCTTTACGAACCACAAAATTTTTGTGGTTCGTAAAGCAAAAAAAAAAATGTCACGTTTTGTCGTTTCCAGCGACAAAAAAAGTAAAACAGATTTCAATTAGTCAGTCTCTACTTTTTTGGGTTATTTTTTCGTTCTTTTTTTGTTTTGTTTTTTATAAATAAATAAATAGAGAGAGCGCTGGAAACTTTTGAACACACCTAAAAATTCAAGTTTTTCATTACTGATTTGATTTATTTATATGTCATAAATTAAAAATAAAAACTTGGTGAACACTGGGGTTCTTGTGAATTGAAAATCGTAAGTATAATTATAAAATAATAAAAAAGAGAAAACTGTATTTTCACTTAAAACTCAGATTTACTTTTTACAAATCAAAACATGAATGAATAAAAACTGAAACATGTTAGTTCGAGAATCGGTCATAGCGGCTTGGCAATTGAATTTAAAAAATGAATTGCTTCCAAATTTAAAAATCCAGCGAGTTTCTTATAAGGTTCATAAGTTTGACTTTATATGAAATGTGTGAAAATTACCAAAGATAAAACAAAATATACTGTTTTCCAATTATCACTTACCTTTCTGGAGGAAACATCAAGGTTGAATCGCACCGTACTTTAAAGGGAGATAACTGAGATAGGATTTTTCCAATTATTTTTTTGTTATGAATAATAATTCTTCTTTTTTTAAAATTTCTCTATTATTTTACAAAAGTAAAACCTTATTTTATATGCACGCGCAGGCACATTCCATTTCATGAAAATAAAAATTCTTAACTGATTTTAGCAAATGTTTGTTTAATTTAAGCAATTTACCAAATTTTTTTAAAAACTTTTTGTTCAAGGTTGGTTTATTCCAAGAGAAGCAAAAAGTATAACTTTTCAACTTTTAAACATTGAAAAATTATTATTTAATAATTCATAAATGATTTCTTTTAACTTTTAAGAAATCAACTCTACTTTTTCAGCAAAGCACATAGATACAAAAATAGATATTTTTTTGTTTTTGTTTTTTATCAATGTACAATAGATCCACCTCGCTGCAAGTGCAATTCTACCCATCTCTGACTTCTATCAGCATGGCTAGTGCTAACCTCCAGGAAATTGACAGATTGCACCTTCTCAGGCTAATGTTCTCTGCTGACATGAAGTGAAAAGACTATATTGAATCCATTGCTAGGTATGCTGCTAAGAAAGTTGGTTTACTGAAGTCTTGCAAAACAATTTTTCTCTCCTGAATCTATCTTACACATATATATCTACCATTCGTCCATGCTTAGAATATTGCTGCTACATATGGTCAGGTGCTCCTGCTATTTACCTTGAGCTCATTGATAAAATCCAAAGAAGAATCGGCAATATTATTGGTCCTGATCAGGTGGCTCGGCTTCAGTCACTTTCCCACTGCCGTAAGGTTGTCTCCCTCTGCCTTTTCTATAAATACTTTCATGATAATTTTCAGATGAGCTCTTCGCTATGGCATCTAGACTTTTTTAATTTAAGTGTAGTACTAGACTAGCATTGAGATCTCATCAATTTACAGTTGAGCTGTATAAATATAACTGTAAATTCAATGCAACAGTTTCTTATCTTGCACTTCTCACTTGTGGAACACCCTTCCAACTCCATGCTTACCAGCTGACTTTAATCTTCAAAAATTTAAATACAATGCCAATCACTATCTACAGTCCTCCTGATTACTCTTTTTTGTTACCACTCATTATTAATGTTTCTGTTCCTAATTCTTCCACACTCAGTAATTGCTTCTGTTATAGTGGCATTGCTTGAGATGAAATCAATTTTTTTTTAAATTTAAAAAAAATATTAAATAGCAATATATATATATATATATAGTCAAGTAATGAAAATTTTGGAAATCAATATGGATAATCCCAAGGAACCTTAAAGTTGTCTTATTTTCTTTAAATTAAATAATAATATATATATATATATATATATATATATATATATATATATAAAGAAATATAGTCTTAAGATGTGCTAAATTTATGGGATAAAGTGCTCAATATCAGAGATAGAGCATGTGTAAATATAAAAGTGAACATAGAAGTCAACACTTAGAGGCGACAGTCTGTTTCATGCTAGATGCAATCGTCAGGCCACAAGTGCTTTTATTTTTCTCGGCTATTTATATATATGGGTTAGTGTGCATTGTGGGTAGTCTGTTTTGGCGGTTATTTTACCGGAAGTTGTTTATTTATTTATTTATTTATTTGGGTTAAATTATTTTGCTTGTTTTTATTTATTTTTATTTTTTATTTTTATTTATTTTTATTTCATATCTTATATATTTATTTATTTTTTTTTTTTTTTTATTTTAATCAGTGTTTTTATTAACGTAGTAAAAATTTGTTTATATCGCTTATTTAATAGTTTGGGAAGATAATTAAAGCTATTTATTTATTTTTAAATTTTTTTTTTTAAATTACTGCTCTCTCATGCAATTATTCAGCAGTCACACACTTTTCATTAGCATGTGCTTCATACACACATACATATTGGCATCCATATTATTTGTTTCCTTCACTTGCAACAAAATTACTCAGACTTTGCAGATTCAATTGCGACAAACCATTTCGAACAGTCAAAGTATTGGTATCTTCCTGGCCACAACAAAGAACATTGAATTTTAATATGTAAATACATGTACCTGTCTGTATAAATATTATTGTCATATTTAGCTTGTTCTTCTTTTTCTTCAAAGATCATTTCTCCACGTTGTTTATAATTTTGTGTTGCATTTATGGACATAACACTCAGAATTTATTTTTCCACCTAAAATCTGGGTCGACTGACCTCACACCTTCTTTCACAGCCAGCAGGTTCCATCCCCTTTGCGTGACTTATCACTCTCTTCTGCTTTGAAACCTCTTTTTGCCTCGAAATCTGATTACATTTTTCCCTTATCTGTGGGCCAGTCTCTTTATATAGGAAATCAGGAGGCTCTAGACTTTAACTTCAAAATTTACAAAGGCATAAGCTCATGCTTCTGATTAGACAGTAAATAAATAGTATATATTTTTTAAATACAAAAAATGAATCTGCAACAATCCACTTAGAGTGAAATAATTTTGGCATTTCTTTAATCACTAATTCTAAAAATGGAAATTTACAGACAACTGTAACAATTTTTTATAAGTCATCTGACTTTTTTAAAAATACACTTCTTTAAAAAGTATGTGTATTAAACAAATCTAGATTTCTTTATTTGCTTACACTTTTAAATTATTAATTTTAATTATTTTACACTACGAACTAATAAAATTTTTTATAACCTACCTCAGTACTAATCTGGATATCTTGTATATATTTTTCTCTCAGATTAGTAGCATTGTTAGTGTAAGTTGTTGCAGTGTTGTGCAAGTTGTACATGACTCAGCATGGACATTGCTGATATCTTAACATCTTTTGTTGCTCTTGTTTCTCAAGACAATGGCAAAGTGGCAATGAATTCAAGTCTGATGGACTGGGAGTACATAGCTGCTGACCTATAAACTGGTAGCCTTTGGTAGGTTTGTTGTTTGCCTACTTATTGAGGCAGAGATAGCACTCTGTTGCTGTAAAGGTGACTTGGCAGCTCTGTTTAAGGACAGCACTGCTCACCAGATATCTGGCAGGAGGGTGTCTACAAAAGGTGACCTAAACATTGTCTGTCTCATTGATTGTCTGGCTGGTTTAGCACAACTGACGGATGTTTCATTAAGTGCTTAAGATCAAATGATGAAAATTAAATCAAAATTTGCTGGAATGTACAAACACTCATTGACAGCTCAACTAGCTCATCACCTGCTTGAAGAACCACACTTGAACTCAGTCACTATGCTGTTGATATTGCTTTTTTAATTATTTCACCCTAGGTAAGGCAATAAAGCCACTAAAATGCAAGAGTTTACTGAGTGCTAGAGAGTATGAGAAAAATATACAATTAAAGAGAAAGGACAATAAAAGAACAAGAATAAAGAAGACAGAAGATGATTGACATTGCATTTAAATTTTTGAAGATCAAAGTTAACTGGGAAGCAAGAAGCCAGAAGAAAGTTCCACAAGAAGTTACATCTAGTCATTTCAACTGTAAAATGATGAGACCTTGTCACCAATCTAGTAATGCACTTAAATCCATAAAGTCTAGGTATTATAGAGGAAATCAATGCTGCTCTATTTCGAACCTACTTCTCTGATGCCAGTCAAATTACAAGAAAATGGTGGTAACTTCAAATTTTTCTGGAATGGGAGGAAAGTAGATAAACAAAGAGAGACTAGTGTCATGTTTGCTGTTAGAAAAAACCTAGTTCTCACTTGAGCAAGCAATCACGTAGTATAAGCAATAGACTTATGACACTTAATTCCACTAGCTGGAAAGAAGTTCATGATCCGATCTACAATGTAGCAAAAGAGACTTTGGCATTAATTTCAGCTAAAATTCATAACTGATTTGATGAAAATAACCAAATCATTAAAGATATTTTCTTAAATAAGAACAATATACAAGAACACATGTTACAATAAGAACTACCCACAAATACCCAACAACAGCTAGAAAGGCAATTCAAATATGCAAAGCTCAATGTTCAGTATAGGCTTCATGAGATAGAAAACACTTGGTGGTCTGACTTAGCCTCAGAAATGAAGGTTATTGCAGACAAAAAGAATATTAAAGAGCTGTACAACTTCATGAAGCAAGCCTTTGGCCCAAGAATGGCCTCAGTAATACCACTTAGATCAAAAAATGGCATGAAGCTTCTTACTAGCATGAATGCTAGTAATAAATGGAAAAAAATGCTTTTGGGATCTGCTAAATAAGGATAGTCATGTAGACCAATCTTAACTACCTTCATTAGTGACCCATCCTGGAATCAATAAATAATCCTCTTACCTTAGAATATCGAAAAGCATCTATCAGCAAGTTGAACATGGGGAAGAATACAAGAAAGGACAGCATGTTTACTGAATTCTTTCAGTATGGTGGTAACCACTTGGCTGATATATGCTGATGACATGGAGATATCTGTTAACATTGGTGGTTTACTTTAAGAACCCATCAAGGTACTAGATGGTGTCAAGCAAGATATCCTTGTAGCACTTAAATTGTTCTCCATTTTCTTTTCTGTTGTTCTCCATGCCTTTAAGGAGTGTGACCAGGGTATATATATTTAATATCGTAAAACTGGTAAGTAGTTCAACATCCAATTCTTCTCTGATAGATCTAAAACATTCCAAGCTCTTGTACAAAACCTTCTGTATGCCAATGATTGTGACTTGGTGATCCAAACAGAACAGGAAATGCAGGCTCTGAGAGATAATATTTCTCATCCCTGTAAAGCTTTTGGCCTCATTATCAATGTGGACAAGATTCATGTTTCAACCTACACCATGTTATACTCTGCTTCAGTTATATCTCTTTCTGATTCATTGTACATGTCAGCTGGATGTGAACACAAAGAAGGCAGAACATAAAATAAAAAAATCGCTTTCTGTGCATAGGCTCTAAGCATCACATGCAGTTCACAAAGCATGTCCCCACAATGAAAGTGATACAGTGACCAATCACAAACATTTCTGCCAGAAAGAGCAATGACCCTGGAGACTGTGAGATTT